TTTGTATGATATTTTAAGACTTGTGTGCATGTTTGGTTTGGAGCCCCGAGGGGTCGGGTGAGTTTCGGATAGGCAACAGGATGTTTTGGACTTGGAAAAATCTGGTTTCTGCAGATCCTGGTGTCTGGCATATCCTTCTTCGCGTTCGAAGGTCCTCTCGCGAACGTGAAGAGTAAATTGGTGAGGCTGAGACTTCTTCTTAGCGAACGCGAAGGCCTGGTCGCGAACTCGAAGTGATGGGGGATTTACCCTTCGCGAACGCGACCTGACCATCGCGAACGCAAAGCACTTGGGGACCTGGGGGAGGGTTGGTCATGTTCTTCTACGCGAACGCGTCCATTGGGTCGCGAACGCGAAGTCTAGGGGGGAGTTGCCTTACGCGAATGCGTAGGAAGACTCGCGAACACGAAGGCCTTAGGCCGCTGTGCATCGCGATCGCGACAGGCCTCTCACGAACGCGATGAAGGCCTGTCTAGTGTCTTAAAACAAACTCCAAACACGGGTTTGAGCCTCTTCAACATTTTCAAGAACCAAACGGGTCGAGGCAATTTTCAACAGTCATTTTCTTCCCCAAAGTATTGGTAAGTGATTTTAAACCATTTTCTTTCAATTACCCATTACATTTCTTGAATTTTTAACCAAAAATTTAGAGTTTTTATGGTAGAATTAGGGGTTAGGGTAGAAACTAGGGATTTCGGAAATTTGGGGATTTAGACCTCGACTTGAGGTCGGATTCCACAACCAATTATATATTCGGGCTCGGGGGTGAATGGGTAAAAAGATTTTGGTCAGAACCTCGGGCTTTGATCAAGCGGGCCCGGGGTCGATTTTTTGACTTTTTGGAGGAAAAATTGAGAAATTTAATTTATGCAATATAATTGATTCCTTTAGCAATATTTGATATTATCGAGTTATTTTTGAATAGATACGAGTGGTTTGGAGGTGAATTCCAAAGGAAAGGCTGTGATTGAGAATTAAGTGGTCTTCGAAGCGAGGTAATTATTGTGTCTAGCCCTAACTTGAGGGAATTAGGGACCTTAGATTATTTGCTAAGTGAAATTCATGTGAGCGGCGTATATGTGAGGTGACGAGTACTTATGCACCACCAATTTACTTATTTTTCGTGTTTCTCTGTTTTTCTTATATTGTCTTATTCCTATGCCAAATTGCTATGTGTTATACTAGTGTTGTTCAAATTATCGTTCTTACCATGTTTACAGAATTTTCTAGTGATAATTGAGTTTTTATTTCAAAGTTGAGATTGATATTATGGAATCAAATATTGAAGTAAGGTTTGTACTTGTTATTCTATCTCCCTGTTATTATTTTTGCATTGCATTATGGTAAGAGAGAGTGTTAATACACGAAGAGTGATGTCGTGCCATATTGTGAGTGTTAATGCATGAAGGGTGATGTCATGCCATATTGTGAGTGTTAATGCACGAAGGGTGATGTCGTACCATATTGTGAGTGTTAATGCACGAAGGGTGATGTCGTGCCATATTGTGAGTGTTAATGCACGAAGGGTGATGCCGTGCCATATTGTGAGTGTTAATGCACGAAAGGTGATGCCGTGTTATTTTGTGAGTGTTAATGCACGAAGGGTGATGTTGTGCCATGACATGAGAGTAAAAGCACGAAGGGTGATGCCATGCTGTTTCTATTAATTTTATGGTGAGATTGAGAGTAAAAGCACGAAGGGTGATACCGTGCATTTTTCTTTACTGTATTCCCTATTCATGTTGATTCATGGTATATTGACTGCTCCGGTGATCATTCTGTTGTAGTTCTTTATCTACATTCCCCTCAGTATGTCTCCCCTCCCGATATTTCCTATTTAGTTCTTTATTCCTGTTATTTGCGTATACACTGTTAAATTGTATAGGTTGATTGTAGGTGCCTTACCTTAGCCTCGTCACTACTTCGTCGAGGTTAGGCTCGACACTTACCAGTACATGGGGTCGGTTGTACTGATGCTGTACTCTGCACTTTCTGTGCAGATTTTGATACCGGCTCAGGTTGATCGAGATTTGCTATTGGTCCGCTGTCCGAAGACTCAAGGTAGATATGTCGGCGTTCACAGACCTTGAAGTCTCTGTCTATCTTTTTATGTCCTACTGTTTTCTTTCATTCAGACAGTTGTATTTTTTTCAGACTATTACTTGTAGTAAATTCTAGAATGCTCGTGAATTGTGACTCCAGATCCAGGTGGTAGTAATTAATATAGTTTTATAATATTCTGCACTTATTATATTTTATTTTAGTTAATTATTGTTATTTACTGAATGAAAATAAGGAATTGGTTTAATGATTCTCTAACGTTGGCTTGCCTGCCAAGTGAAATATTAGTCTCCATCATTGTCCCGTCGGTGGAAAATTTCGGATCGTGACAACTTATATACAAAGTTGAACCATAGTGAAAGACTAAAATTTATGTACACAAAAAATAAAGACTAAATCTATCTGTGAGTATTAAAATGGAAAATACTCAATGTTTTAAAGGAGCTTAGAGTAGCAAGCTAATTTTCATTGCTTAAAATGATAATTTATTTTTAAAAACATAACTTTAACAATGCAATGTAAAGTTACGATAAGCCGTAATAGTTCAAAGACGGATTTTTTATTTTAATTTTAAATTAATATAGTTTATTTCATGATACAACAATAATTGTTGCATATAATATTTATTCTTTCACGCAAAATCTCTGTCATTACAAATATTGAGTTATCTAATATTTGATCTTCAGTTAAAAAGAAAATTTTCATGCTTATGCTAGAGGTCACATTAGACTTCAAGAAAATTACCAGAAATTACTTTCTAAATACTACATTAAAAGAAAGAAATTTTTATTGTGCATTTGCAAATAAAATAAAAGAAAAATATATTCTACAACTTTGAGGTACTTTGGATGGTATAATTATGCTATTTGGTCCTCTAATTACCAAAAGTACTACAACCGTGCATTGCCTCTTGTAAATATGTTTAAGCAAAAAAAAATATAAAATTATAACAAAAAAAACAAATTAAACTGAGAATACCATAAAATGAGAATGATAAGTAAGAATGAGTCTTGCATTTTTTCAGCTATTGAATATTTTTAATATTATTTTATGTAATATTGAAAATTTTAATACTTGATGATTACTCTCTATTCTTTTGCTATTTAAAATTTTAACCATTAATCTTAATGGTCCAGCTAACGATATATATACATGTGTGTGTGTTAACATGTATAATTTATTTATACGGGCTCGAAAAAATAAACTGTGAATCTAATTATTTTTTTATGTAAAGATTTAGAAAGAAACTCGACATGTAATATAGTACTAGCATGGGCCATCTTTTACTAGTAGTAGTAATAAAGAGGGTGCAAGTCACAGTTGGTAGGCGGAAGCAGACTGAATTATAAGGACAAAAAATATTCCTTATTATTCTATGCAGGTCTGCAGAATTGCATGGTAAGTGAAATATTGTATCATAAGAGGCATGGCGGACATGCACAAAAGAAGAGTAGGTAATGAATCAGAAAAAAAAAATTATTCTTGAAAAATATTTATCTGCACTCAATATTCACATCAAGTTAAATAGTTACAATAACATACCCAGTATAGTATTACAAGTGAGGTGTGGGAGGATAGTGTGTATACAAATATTATCCCTATTTAATAAGATAGAGAGATCGTTTTCGATAGACCCTCGGCTAAAAAAAATGAAAAGAGAAAAAAGGGAAGAAGACGAAGAAGAAAGAGGAAGAAGAAAGAAAAAAAGAAAAAAAAGAAAGAGACAAAGGATGAATAAGGAAAATGGGAGAAAAAGAAACAATAACAAGTAAAAGAAAAAATAGCAACAAATAGTAACAATCAAGAAAATACGATACACGAAGCGAACAAAATAATAGGCAAATACTAGAGGTCAAAGAATACGAAAAAAATAAAAGCGCTACTAATACCACTAGAAAAGAATGGGGAACTCTCGACTACCTTCTAACCTTCTACCATAATCTTCGTCCTCCACATTCTTCTATCTTGGGTCATTGTCCTCAGTGATTTGAAGTATACTAGCATCATGTCCTGTTTAATCATCTCTTCCTAACACTTCTTTGGTCTACCTCTTCCTCTTCTCATACCGCCATGACTTGCATTATTAGTTTAGTGTAAACATTATATACTAGTAAAAAAAAATTTGTTTATCCTCCCCCATTATTAGTTTATTGTAAACACTAGTACGTACGAGTAAACTTTTTCTTAATTTGTCCTCTCAGAGACGGATATAATTCGTAAGTTATGAATTGATTCGTACTCCTTCTTATTTTTTGAATTCATTTATAAAAATTCTGATTCCGCCCCTAACACAGTCACAGTCAGTCCCACCCCTTTAAAACTTTAGTTACATCTCTTCTCCTAATCACTTTAAAAGTGGACACAGATTTGAGAGAAAAAAGTAGAAGACGACAGAGAATCTTTGGTGGGACTAACGACATGAAATGACTAATATAACTGTTTTGCTGCTTTCTTTCAACTTAGAATCTCATCCTTTTAGCTACTCCACTTTGGATTTTTCTTGAAATTCCCAAATTTTAACAAACATGGGAAGAGAGTTAAACTATACTTATGTCGTCTTTCATGAACCTACCTTTTTCCTTTTCTTTAGTTTAACTCCAATTATCTTTTTCTCTGACCCATCTGACATCCCACAATTGTCCCTCCCATAATTTCTAATATATGGGCGGATTAATGATTTAGACTTTGAAATTTGTTTAAATTTGGCTATATCATTACTTATTTAATTTATTTGACTCGAAATCAATATTTGTTCTTATTTAGTGTATATTCTAACAAATATAAAAGGTATGAGCCGAAGATTTGTTGTTGCTTGTTATTATTATTTTTCTTCCATAGCTTTTTCAAAATTATATTTTCTTTTTTATTACTTTTGTGATTATCCTTTTCTTGAAATCGTATTTTTTTTTATATTACTGTTATGATTATGTTTTTCTTGAGCCGAGGGTATATCTTCTCTGAGATTTGCTTACAAACTACTCTACCTACGCTAAATCCTCCCTTGCATGTAATCCCACCTCCCCTACCCCAACCAAACAAACAAACTGACCTTGGGTTTCTCATAATTAAACATGAAGAACACCTCAATCCCCACTCCTAAAGTTCCTTTTACTTATATACTTTGAAGTGGGCCTATTTGGATACACCACCATATTTTGTCCTTTGATGAAAAAAGTACTATTGGTACCACTTAACAGCAACAACTTTCCTTCTCATCAAGAACATGTATGCTATTGCTAGCACAGGTATCTTTGTTAGTTTATTTTGTTCTTGTATGCTTTTAATTTGGTGTTTTCAGCTCTCAGTTTTTTCTTATTATCATGAATTGATTCTATAAGGGGTGTTTCAACCGAAGCTTTTGTGTTTTTGTTGTTGGATTGGACTTTGATGAAACAAACATCGGCTAGCTTATGCTTAATCATTCTTGTGTTTTAAATCTTGATGTGTTTTAAGTTTAGAAGGAATAGTCTCTCTTTTTCTTCAAATGAATACTACGTGCATGATTTAAGTTCATAAAAGAAATTAAAATCTGTATCCTATGCTGTTCTCTTTAACTACTTGATGAAATTAAAGTGTGTTGCTATTCTTTTTCTTTTTCTTCAATCTTGAATTTTGATCACACAATACACTCTACATCTTCAGCATATGAGAAAGAGAATTTCGTGCAAGAATTTATCATGTCTCTTGTTGTAAATTGGAGGTTATATACTATGTTCTTACTTTCGAGTATAAACAAAATTTTCAGTTCACAAACTCTGTATATAGATCTAGTTTCAATTGATATCCTTTTTGTAAAGTTTCTGATCTTGGGTTAGAAGGCAAGTCTTAGTCTTCCTTAATAGCCACATACATCTTCTATGGTTAATTATTTCTGTATTGGTTGCTCACTTGGTCCTTATTGATCTAAGTCCAACATATGAGTAAATTAAAAAAGAAAAAAATCCATCACTAATTATCTTGTCTCATCAATTGTCGGAAAAATTGTTGCAACTGGAATTTTTTTGTTTTTCTTTCTTAGGATTTCAACTTTACTAAGACCTATAAATAATAGGAGTAAAAGTCGATAAAACTGCTTTCTTGATTGCTAGATGAGCTTCCTGTTCCACTATTCTACCTTATACATGTATGAGACTGTAAATATTATTTGTAAAGATATATGTCATGTATTTATTAAATCGGTATAACATCCAGCATGAGACCCGGTACCAGAATATGACAAATCTCTGAAATGCTCTCTTATTGGTATACTTGGCTACTTGTCCAAGGGTGATCACATGAGCTTTGTTTGCACATATCATGGATTTAGTTTTCAGAAGAAATTAGAAAAATATAGATGTTAATCAATTTTTCTTCTAATTTGGACCTTGCAACCCCATTCTAAAAATGGTAGAACTTGATCGTAACTCTAGCTTAAATTCTAATCAGCTGAAGTTTAACTATGTTCATGTATTAATTTATCACTCAACTAAGTTTTAGTTTCAGATTAAGATAACTTCCCTTCATGTGATCTTTAATGTTCCGGTCATGTTCCGGTCACGACCCCAATTCACCATTCGTTGGTTGTCGTGATGACACATAATCTCTAAAATTAGGTAAACCTAACAATTTGCGAAAATGCATAAAATAAAACTGAAGCACAATTCTCAACATATGAAATAAATATAAAACTGCAATTCAATAATTTCAACTCCCAAATTCCGGTAGAAATAAGTCACAAGCTTTTAAGAATTTATTCTGAGTGTCTCAATATATCAGAGTCTAAAGAGAAATCAGGAAGACAACATATCCAGGGGGACTCCGAGGTCTGCGGACGCTGGCAGATGTACCTTGAAGTCTATGTATATAGCTAGTTCATTGATACCTGGTCTGATAAAAAGTACCTGGATATGCACAAAAAGATGTGCAGAAGCGTGGTATGAGTACACCACAACGGTACCCAGTAAGTGTCAAGCCTAACCTCGGTAGAGTAGTGACGAGGTCATGTCAGGCCCTACTGGAAATAATAGAAAAGTAAGACAGAGGTTATAATAATATAACGAAATGACAGAAAAGTGAACAACGCAGCAAATAGACGTAAACAATAGGGGCGCTCCCGAGGAACCGCCTCGTAGTCCCAAAAGTAATATGCAGTACAGAGGGATCTCCCGAGGAACCGCCTAGTAGTCCCAAAAGTAATATGCAGTGCAGGGGGATCTCTCGAGGAACCGTCTCGTAGTCCCAAAAGTAATATGCAGTGCAGGGGGATCTCTCGAGGAACCGTCTCGTAGTCCCAAAAGTAAATATACAGTACATGGGGATCTCCCGAGTAAACACCTCGTAGTCCCAAAGTAAATATGCAGTACAAGGGGATCTCCCGAGGAACCGCCTCGTAGTCCTTAAAGTAAATATGCAGTATAGGGGGATCTCCCGAGGAAATGCCTCGTAATCCCAAAGTAAATATACAACAGATATCCAAAGGGAACAACGAATTTACAGCAAGAATCTCACAGTTAAAGATTTAAATCAAATCAAATAAGCAGGTAATTCAGCTAAGCATGTTGCACATATTGCAAGTAAGAGTTAGGGCACGTAGACATATGATACTAGACTGAACATGATCACTACATATACTAAAGCAACTCAGTTAAAGAATTTAAAAGAAGACTACTCAGCAAGAATCGATATTTCCAAGTTAAGACCGTGTACGCACTCGTCACCTCGCGTACACAGCGCTCATATATCACAAAATGTTACAACAGTATCAAATCCTAAGAGGGTTCCCCTCCCCCC